AAAGAAATGGAATGTTACTTGTACCACTTGTAATAATGAAAAATTGCAAATAATACAACTGTCCAGTATGAATTATAACCATAAGACAGAATGCTATATTGCTACCAAAATTAGGGAACTAGAGCTAGATGTACTAAAACAAATGAGTGTCAAATAGAGCAAAACACAGAAGATATGCGCCATGAGATGGCTTCATGCACAAGACACTTAAAAGCATGCAAACCCATTGCTACCTATTATTTAGGAGGTGGCTTGGTGGTTGAGTGCTAACTCCAAGTGCAAAGCCCAGTGCTGATCCCTAGCACTGTAAACAAAAGGAGATGGAGTCAGATGTGTGTGAAAACAAGCAACACCAATCTCAAGACGGAGGCTACTTCTGTGAGAAGACAGTGGCAGGGAGGGGAACCTAAAGCCCTGACCTGTACTTGAAAGGGTTTCATTTATTCCTCTGAGAGAGTTACCAATATTAATGTATTATTTTCAGTTACTGTAAATGTTTTAAGATTTTCTTTTTCTTGAAGCAGGGTCTCACTCTAGTTCACGCTGATCTCACCGTGAAGCCTAGGCTGGACTTGAACTCATGCTAAACCTCCTGCTTCTTCAGCCTCCTGACAGTTGGGAGAACAGGCCTGAGCATCACACCTAAGTTTTAATTTTTAAAAGCAGACAATGACGTGGGATTCCCCTCTGTAAGCTACGAATATGTTTTATTACCATTGGTTAATAAAGAAGCTGTTTCAGCCAATGGCTTAGCAGAGTAAAGTCAAACAAGAAATCTGAAAAGAGATATAGAGAGAGAGTAGGCAGAGTCAAGGAGATGCCATGTAGCTGCAGAAGGAGAAAGACACTGCCGCTGGAACCTTTCCTGTAAGCCACAGCATTGTGCCAATACACAGATTAATAGAAATGGGTTAATTTAAGATTTAAAGACTATCTAGAAATAAGCCTGATCTGTTGGCCAGTGTTGTAATTAATATAGTTTCTATGTGATCGTTCAGGTCTGGGCATCCAGAAAATGAATGAACAGTCTTCTCCTACAGGACAACACCATGGAGACTAAAAAGATATTGAGTTTGACAATGACCCAGTTTCCAAGACAGGACTGGCAAATGAAGATGTGTCTTGACACTGAAACACTAGAGGTTTCTGTTCATGAGGATGAAGGACAAACCATGCTTCCTTCCCAGGGCTCAGGGGAAACACTAACCTAAGTAAATTCTCAGAAATCAAGAAAGTAAGAGAGTTGTCAGTGACAGATCAACATTTTGGATGGATTTCAGGAAGCCGGAGGAACTTCCCAAGAGACCCAGCTGAGGAAGAGGGCCTGCAGCGGGGAACCACAGGAGAGGTCCAGAGCTGCACACGTTTCCTTGGATGGGAGGCCATGCCGTTGTCACACTCGGTCTGGACATGCAAAGATCAGGCCTGGGTGACATGAAAGAAGCACATGGGGTAGGTGTGTAATTTAACACCTGCCTGCTCAACAGTTCCTGAACCAACACTGACCCTATCCCACCTGCCACGTTCACACAGCCAGCATGGCCAGAGAAGCTGGCTGAAGGAGTCCCCAGCAGGAGCTCCAGGCCTGTCCTCTCAGAGGCAGGTAGAGTAGGTGGGACAGGGAAGTGGTGCTTCCTTTAGGAAAAGGGTTAGTAATAGCAACAAACAGGGGTGGGGCACGACAGGAAGGGCAGCTCAACCCACACAAAGGAAACAAAGTCCTTCTACCCAACAAAGTAAAATCTTTCTTATTTCAGTAACTCCACTTGAACCCGCAGTTTCCCTCCATTCATCCTGAGGAGATGGGTGCTCTGTGTGTGCAACTTAAGAAGTTACACAATTGGGGCTGGAGAGATGGCTCAGAGGTTAAGAGCATTGCCTGCTGTTCCAAAGGTCCTGAGTTCAATTCCCAGCAACCACATGGTGGCTCACAACCATCTGTAATGAGATCTGGTGCCCTCTTCTGGCCTGCAAGCAGACACACAGACAGAATATTGTATACATAATAAATAAAAATATATTTAAAAAAAAAAGAAGTTACACAATCCAGTGATCAACTGGGAAGGAGACAGACAGAGAGACACTCCTTCTCCCACCCTTATGGCTAAAGAAGGGCTCAAACACCCTAGCTACCACCCAATGGAAGCTTTTATTTTAAAGTTACTAGCTGCAGGGCTGGGTCCTTCTGTGTCAGATCAAGGTTTAGTTCTGAGCACCCACACCAGGCAGCTCGCAACCACCTGTAACTCCTACTTCAGAGATGCCAAATTTCTGCACCCACACTTAAAAATAATAAAAAAAACAATAAATCTTTTGGGGGGTGTTAAGACGGGGTTTCTCTGTAGCTTTGGAGCCTGTCCTGGAACTCTCTCTTTAGTCCAGGCTGGCCTCGAACTCACATAGATCTGCCTGCCTCTGCCTCCTAGTGCTGGGATTAAAGGCATATGCCACCACCACCCAGCTAAAATAATAAATCTTAATAATCACTAGTCATTAAATAGAAAAAAAAGTCAAATGTGGTGGAGGACACCTGTAATCTGCTACCTGGGAAGTGGAGGCAGGGATCAGTCCTTGGCTACAGAAGGAATTAAAGCCAGCATGGGCCCCTATGAGACCCTGTCTCACCCCCAAATCTCTCATCCGCTCTCCAAAGAAAGAGTAGGGTGGTGACTAAACCTAAAGGCAGGAAAAGATGAAGGAAAATTTAAAAGTTTTTTGGATTTTTAAGCAAAGGTTTATGCCAGACATGGGAGCTCACACCTTTAATCCCAGCATTTAGCAGGCACAGACAGAGGTATGTAAAAAGGCCTTGTCTGGAGAGGGAGAGACAGAGACAGACAGAGATGTGGGAAGAGAGAGAGAGAAAGAGAGGGAGAGAGAGAGAGAGAGAGAGAGAGAGAGAGAGAGAGAGAGAGAGAAGGAGGGAGAGCGAGAACAAAAGAGAGAAAGAGAACTTTAGAAATGATTGGAACTTAAGATTTGAACCACAACCCTATCTATTATCTACCTTACATGTACATTCAATTTCCTGCATTACCTGCACTATACTTATCACTACTAAAGATATACGATCGATACTGTTGTCTTTTAAAGTTTCATGGATGGATACATTTTCCTTTCCCATAGATGCTGCTGCTGACTCAGCTGCCATAGTGATGAGCAGAGACCACACTCACAGGCAATGGGTGAGTTAGAGCAGAGACCACACTCACTGGCAATCGGTGAGTTAGAACAGAGATCACACTCACTGGCAGTCCGTGAGTTAGAGCAGAGACCACACTCACTGGCAGTCCGTGAGTTCCGGCTGAGCAGCATGTGCTTTCCCAGGGAAAGCCAGACTCCAGGCGGGAACATACCAGGAGAGCAGATGGCTGCCCCAACCAGCAGAACTCTTTGGATGCTTACCGGCCCCAGTGTACCGAGGACAGACTAAGTCCTGACTGAGCAGCTTGTGAGGATTCAGCAACACAGCAAAGTAATCCAGCCTGGAAGCTCTGAAAACAAACAGCCCGTCTCTACCATTCTGTCCAACCTGGGAAGGACCTGACGTGATTCAGAAATTGTGCAATAAATCCATGTCTTAGAAAAGGTTCAGGAAGTCTCCTCCCCTCCCTGAAGACATGGGTGTTAGCTGCCTTATATTTTCTGGGAAAATGAAAGTGAAACCAACTCATACAACGGAGCGCCATCTGTCCCCAACATCTGCATGCCACAGAGAGCACACTGCACTCTTTCCTAAGGAAGGTATTCTGTTAGGGTGTGCCTTGTGTGCCTTTAAAAGCTCATGAAAGACACCAGAGAGCCCAAAGGCAGCTTTTCGACAGTGTGGAAACAAAGGGGACTTTAAAATGATAATGATGCCAAGTTCACTAGGTTGGTATCTTCTCATAAAACTGAAGATGTGTTTCTAGTACCTTCCACCTTTGTAGCAATACACAAGGCCTCCACATGAGGCTACTATTTAGGTGTCTGCTTCCAGCCAAACCATCGAGTCCTCCTACAGGGGTAGAAGGAAGGGTAGCCACCCTATGGATGCTGGGAACTGAACCCAGATCCTGACGCTACAGAGGAGACTAAGTTCTCATCGTGAAGTGAGCAGGAGAGATCACATTGGCTTAGGCTTCATTATTATTCTGCACCACAGCACCACAGTCAAGCCCAGTAGTTCTCACCAACCCTAAGGCTCCGACCCTCTGTACAGTTCCTCATGGTGTGGTGACCCCAACCATAAAATTATTTCATTGCTACTTCAAAACTATAATCTTGCTACTGTTATGAGTTGTGATGTAAACATCTGTGTTTTCTGATGGTCTTAGGCATCCGCTGTGAAAGAGCCATTTGATCCAAGAATGACTTCTCTAGTTGTCTGAGAGCTCAAGTCTTGTTCCCCCAATATGTCTCTCCTCCTCTGCTCGCACACAAGTCTAAGCTGTCGCCGTGCCCTCTTTTAGAGTCAGCAAGCCAAGAGACGCAAATGACAACTGAGCCCAATTACTTCATTTTTAGACAAATCTGCAATGAGCCCCAGACAGTTCCAGTGTTTCATCCAGGGTCACACAGCTGATTCGAGGTGAAGCTGAGACCCGAGCTAGGCCTCTACGGTGCTGGGCACTATTCCCTTTTCATCAAGAGGCCTCCTTAAAACTGCCAGAAGACAATCAACTGGACCTCTACTTCCTCTCTCTGTGCCTCTCCTTTTGGGCACTCACCAATAGCCTCCCTTTCTCTCTCAGTACCATAACAGAAGGAATGATGAGCAGTGATCACGTACACCAGATGGTTCATTTAAAGGTAACACTTAGACTATTTTTGAATTTATATTTATCTTTTAAAACAGAAACCACTTACTTTCCAGATCAACATATTACAGACCTCCATAGTTATGGTCACAATTCAAATCCAGAAAAACAAAAACCTAGGTCACTTCCAATTCTGGCATTCCACACTCAATACTGAAGTATCAACAAGAAGCAGGCGCACCTGCAGCCTGCGGTACTCACCACAGAAGTGATCTGATTGTGTCGAAGGTTAAGTTCAGTTAGAGAATCCAGACCATTGAGATTGTCAACTTGACTCAAGAGGTTCCTGGCAAGGTTTAAAACTCTCAAATCACACAAATGATTGACATTTTCAATCTTGGTTATCTGGAAAACAAAGGTGGGGGACGAGCTTGATTAGCATATGCATGTAATAAAGCTCCAAAAATAAAACATTCAAGCCCCCAGATTTAGTGACAAGTTTATGCCGAGACATTTAAGTCCATTTAAGGGTCTCAAAGCAAGTCCTATGAAGTCATTTAACTTGTAAAAATGAGCCAAGGATCCTAGTTGACCATTTGACATAATGAGCATATCGTGTAAATTTTCTCAAATAACCAATGACTCCCTTTGGAGCAGCTCTACGGCTGCCAGGTCCCACATACACACTACCTGTCACACAGAAACTGACTCTGGCCCCGAGTCACATACTCACAGTGCTTTGACAAGGCAAATCAAGCCTCTCAGAGCAAAAGCAAAGGACAGGACTGACCTGCGCCTGCCAGGATCTTGAGGGCAGTGAAGAGTGCAAATGGACAGATGGAAGGGACTAGAAGCCCCTGTGGGAGGAAAAGATGGCCTCTGGAACATTAGTGCTTAGGCCAGGAGACAAGGCTCAGTTAGGGTGCAATGTGGTAGGCACTAGCCCGTAGAACAAAAGACCTTACGTTGTGGAAGCCACGCAGGCACATAAGCACAGGGCCAGAGCAGAACAGCCTCAACTCTCAGGAGGTAAGGCGAGAACAGCACTGTGTTAAAGCCCCTGTATTACTCAGCAACACAGTCTAAGGTTGAGTGTCTCCTACACAGGAGCGGGGAAGGGTGCTCATCAACCTCTTCACAGGACTTCCTTAAGAAACCGTGAGTTGCTCAATGTGTCACTTTTCACTAAGGGGACACATCTCAGGAGCTGGGAAGATCCTCAGGGTTGAGAGAGCTTGCTGCTCTTGCAGAGGACCAGAATTCAGTTCCTAGTAACCACATGGAAACTCACAACTGCCTGCCTGCAACTCCAGCACCAAGGGATCCAATTTTCTCTTCATGGCACCTGTGTATGTATACATGTATGTGTGCACATACATGCACACAAATCTTTTTTTAAGAATAGATTTCACCATCTGTAAATATGAATCTGCTCATTTACATTGCTATAACAATTTTATTTTTTAAAAATCTAACATTTCAAGGCAAATGTTCGCTAAAAGACTCTTTTTAGATTCACAATACAGTTTCCATGCTGTTATCTGGACTCTGCAACCAGCAAACACCACCTGGATTCTTTCTAGGCTCAGGAAGAGACACACACAGTGGTATATTACAAATTGGAAAACATATGAAGGTAACCTGTGGTTGTGTTTAAATTTTGTTTCAAGGTTTTCCATCTAATTGATTTAAAGTGAAATAAAATTATATAAAATTTAAAAAGAAACAACAAGGTTATGGAAACATATAGATGGCAGAACTGTACAAGCAGATATAGAGTAAGGCATCTGACAATAAATACATGATGTAATTTGAAATATATAGACTTAATAAAATTGCAATGGAGAGACTATATAAAAGGAAATCAGTAATGTAAACATGTGCTTGAAAAACTCACCCAAAATACAGAGACTAAGCAGAAATAGAAGAGTGAAAGAAACTGGTAACTATAACAGAGAAAAGAAGTGATGCTTGAAAACATGAACTGAAACTCGGCTGGGCTCAAGAATGACAAATGGGTACTATGGTTGAGGTCAGTGTGCCCCACAAGCCCCCATAGAAAGGTTTGTTTCCCAGGGTGTAGGTATTGGGAGGTGCCATGAATATTAAGTGAGGCCTAGAGAAAGGTCATTAGGTCACAGGGATGTACCCCTGAGGGGATTATGGGACCTCAACCTCCCCTCTTCTGTTTCTTGGTTTAAGATGTGATGCTCTTTTCAGCAGTTCCTCCAGTAGCCACCTGATTTTGGATTTGAACCTTTGTGAGCAAAGCTGTGTCCTTCTTCCTGCTCAGTGCTTCCTGCAGGCAGTTTGCTGTAATGAACTAAGGAGACGAAGGCACATGCACAGCAGCTCTTCTTCCTGCACACATTCCTGAATATTCCTTTCAGAAAACCCTACTTCTCCAATTCTTCATAGACCTGTGGGGTCTGAAACTAGATCCTCTGCATTTTTCTGCTGCTTTGACTTTGGAAACATTGTTAGTTCTTGTACATAAGTATTTGTCTATAACTTTAAAAATATTTATGTTATATATACATATATATATATATGAGTAATTTGCCTATATGTTTGTATATGTACCACATTGTACTTGGGGCTGCTAGAAGTCACAAGAGGATATTGGATCCCCTAGAACTGGAGCTATAGATAGTCATGAGTCATCAAGTGGGTGCTGAGAATTGAGACTAGGTCCTTTGCAAGAGCAATATATGGTCTTAACCATTGAGCAATCTCTCTAGCCCCATTAATCTATAAATCTGGAAATATATCACTAGGGATGTTGTTTAGTTTCTTAAAACTCCATAAGTCACAGCAACTGGCAGAATAAAGTCAGTTATTCTCTGATGTGGGATTCTCCTCTGTATGCTGGGAATATCATTGGATAATGAATAAATCTGCTTTGGCCTACAGCAGGGCAGAATTGAGTAAGGTAAAAATTCCAAGCAGATAAAGAAAAAAAAGGGCTAAGTCAGGGAGATGCCAGAGGAAAAAGATGCCAGTGTGCCTGTACCAGTAAACCACAAGCCTTGTGGTAAAATATAAAATAATAAAAATGGCTTAATTTAAGATATAAAAGCTAACTAAATAGATGCCTAAGCTATTGGTCAAACAGTGTTGTGATTAATGCAGTTTCTGTGTGATTATTTTGGGCCTGGGCAGCCTGAAAATGAACAAGCAGTTTCCACCTACAAATTGGTGCCAATGCAGACAACTACATACACATTACTCAGATAAAAAGGGTTTATATGCTACATGGTGCTATCCAGAGTTGAGGTAGTGAGGATGGCTCCTACCCAGCAGTCTCAGAGGCAGTGAACAGACCTTCGTCATGTTGGACTGGGCAGAATCAAAAGGCAAAGCAGCCTTAGTCCTAGCCATGCTGCTTAGCATTTTAAAAAGCGATCCTGGTCAGAAAAGGATTACAGATATGCAATAAAGACAGATTCAGACAAAAATAAACCTCTAAATTGGTCATTGTGTGTTGAAAAATGTACATAGGCTTGAGAGAGAGAAAAAAAGAGTATAGACAATTATGATATAAAAGACTATAGACAGTCATAAATTTTAAAAAGTAAAAATATTAAAATAAATATTAAACTTATAAAAAGTAATAGAGTTAAAGAATAAGCCATGTAAATATAAAAATACACAGAGACTGGATTATGTATATCATTGTGTTTTCTTTAATTTTTTTTACTGTAAATGAGCTAAATACAGAGAGACATTTCATTGTAATAGTTGCTAAGCTAAACCAACATATATATTTTAAAGGTATCTTGACTTCAAAACTTGGGCCTAAAGATATGTTGCTTTGGAAAAAAAGAGGTTCTTCTTTTGCTTCCACAGAGGATGAGAATCTGTGGATTCCTTCCAGACTAATTTGGTTTAATGGATCAAGATCCCCCAAAAGGTCTCCATAAACCACCAAATACTCTGCCCAATGAAAAACAGGTTTTTTAAAAAAAAAACTATGCCCAAATTTTGTTTAGTAAGGTTGGTTTACTTTTAAAGGGGATATGATATAGAGATGAATATATTTCATTGGTATGGATCTTAGTCTATTGATACAAATTTGAGGTCAATTTTGTTATACACATCTCTGCTCTTATTTAAGGTATTGTGTTTGTGCAGCTCATTTAAAAATTTAATGTATAGTTAAAAATATAGGTTAATAGATAATCATCTATAATAGTCAATCTTGTAGTCATTTTAGTTAGGGTTTCTATATATATATATATATATATATATATTTCAATTAGATAGGTATTCTTCAAACCTTTCAAAGACAAACAGAATATGGCATTTAAAATTTTAAAAATTTAGGACTTTTCATGACAATGAGACACATCTGCTCCTGGCAGCACCAATTATTTCAAGAGGAAGATGGGCATCAAAGAGGCTCTTTATGACGTTTGCTAGCCATTTGGGCAAGAGACTGCCTTTGCCTGAACTGCTTGATGTTATGCTGTATGAATTGGACTCACAGAAAAATGACTGCTAAATTTGCCTAATGGTGAGATGGTCCTTCAGGGTTCCTGCTTCATGAAAGAGTCTGCCAGACATGCTGCAGAACACAAAAGAAAGTGACTGACAACCTGCCATATAGGCGGAACTGTCTTTAAAATTTCCTGCTTTGTAGAAATGTCTGCTAAATACTATGGGCCTGTAGGCTAAAGATGGATGACCCAACATTACAGAAGAACTTTGGGTGACTATCCAAGCAACAAGATGTCTCTGTCAATTCTAGAGTTTTGAAAGTTGCTTACAATGTACTTCCTGTTTATTTAGGTAATATTATATCCTTCTGGAGTCTTTAATGGAGTTATAATTATAAAAAAATAAATATAAAAATGTAGACTCACAAAGATAAAGTATTTTCCTTAATTTGCTAAATGTAAATAGACTAAATGTTGTAACTATAATTTTTGCTTGATAACTGCTTTGCTATATGTTATCTTGTATGTTAAAGTTAAAACCTTCCTTTTTATTTAGATAGAAAGGAGGAAGTAATGTGTGATTCCCCTCTGTGTGCTGTGAATACCATTGGTTAATGAATAAAGCTATAAGGGCCTATAGAAGGGCAGAATTGAATAAGGTGAAAGTTCCAAGCAGATAAAGAAAAAAAAAGGCAAAGTCAGGGAGATGCCATGTAGCCTCCCGAGGAAAAAGACACCCATGTGCTGGTACCAGTAAACCACGAGCCTTGTGGTAAAACACAAAATAATAAAAATGTGTCAGTTTAAGATATAAGAACTAAAAAGATGCCCAGGCTATTGGTCAAGCAGTGTTGTAATTAATACAGTTTCTGTGTGATTATTTCGGGTCTGGGAGGCTGGGAAATGAACAAGCAGTCTCCGCCTACAATTTTCTCAGCTATGGACAAAGTTACAAGCACAGAGAAAATGACAGAAGCTCTGGGCAAAGGCTGTGCAAAGAGCACACACAGAGGCTTTGGTTGATCTACCATACATAGACAAAATGGCAGGAATGTTGAAAAGAAAGGCCTAACTGTGAGCCACACTGACTAGAATCCAGGACTTCTGAATACATCAGGAGAGCTGTATGTAAGTTCTAGTGCCTGAATAAACACAAATTTCCCACCTCTGTGTAAGGAAAGGGCAGTGTCTGCCAAGAACAGGAAGGGTATGCTCTCCCTGTACTGAAAGTATTGAAAGAGTAGAATCTTCTAGGAGCCCATTTGTATCTTTTTGAACCATTCCTAGGAAAACAAAATCTGGTAAGCCAGCTCAAAGTCTGGACTGGAAACCAGAGCCAATCTCCCAGACTCCTCTGTATTCACCCCTGCTCTCATGGAGAAGGCTAAGTCTTGATGTTCCCACTTTTTAAATATTTGTTCTATCTGTTACCTTACCACATACCTACCATTGTGAGATTATTCTGACTTGTGTCCCATCTGTCCTCTCACCAGAGAACAGTCTCTCCCTGTGCCAGTCAGTCCTTTATCATTTAATATAAGCTAGAGTTATCCAGAAAGGGGAAACATCAACTGAGGAAGTGCCACCTCCCAGCTGGCCTGTAGGGAAGTCTTTGGGATGTTTTCTTAATTGACTTATGTTGGAGGGTGCAGCCTACTGCGTGTAGTGCCACCCTTGGGCAGCTGGTCCTGGTTGCTACAGGAAAGCAGGCTGAACAAGTAAAGAAGAGAAAGTAAGCAGCACCCCTCCATTGCCTCTGCTTCAGTTACCACCTCCAAGTTCCTGTCTGATTTAAATTCAGACTGTAGACTCTAGGCTGAAATAACCCTTTCCTCCCCGGGGTGATTTTGGTCACAGTGTTTACCACAGCAGTAGGAAGCAGGCTAAGACAGCTCCTCTCCATCTCTTTCCACCCTCCGATCCATTTCCTGACCAGAACCGTCACTCCTCAAAACACTTTCATATTCATAAGACAACGGTACTGAACATGATGTCCACTAGGCAGTCTTAATTTCTAATGGAGTAGAATGAGGTAGAAAAGACCAATTATTAGATATTGATTGATTTAGTGATTCACTTACAGCACTGCCAATTTGCTAGACATGGCTTCACTTGCAACATGGGACAGAATGACCTGGAGACATAACTGAAATAATGATTTGTTGCCCTTAACGACCTGATGACTGCCACATAGGCTTCTTGCTGACCGCCATGTAAGCTTCCATAAAATCTTGATTGCTTGCTTACCCACCTTGTGGTTTGAGAGTATAAAATGGGAATACAAATTAGATCCAGCATTGAAGGCTTGCAGGAGCTGTCTTGGTATTGGTCCACCAGTGACCTCTCCTCCCTTCCATCTCAGAGGTGTTGGAGTTCACAGGTGACATCCACCTCCCTTCAGTCTCACAGCTGTTAGAGTACCCGGGTGACATAGCCTCCCTTCTGTCTCACAGGTGTTGGAGTGCACGGGTGACTTCTCCTCCCTTCTGTCACAGGTGTTGGAGTGCACAGGTGACATCGCCTCCCTTCTGTCTCACAGGTGTTGGAGTGCACTGGTGACATCACCTCCCTTCTGTTACAGGTGTTGGAGTGCACGGGTGACTTCTCCTCCCTTCTGTCACAGGTGTTGGAGTGCACAGGTGACATCGCCTCCCTTCTGTCTCACAGGTGTTGGAGTGCTTACTCCAGAGGTTTCCCCCATCGCTAATGAGAGTGGATTCTAAAGATCAAACACTCTCCCTTAACTGGTGCCTAAGCTTTATTTATTTTTATTACATTTACTCATTTATTTGGGGGGGAGGCATGAGTGTGGAGGTCAAGAACAACTGTGGGAATTTGCTCTCTCCTCCTGCCATATGGGTTTCGGGAGTAGAGCTCGGGTTGGCAGGTCTGGGAGTGCATGCCTTTCTCCGTTAGCTGTCTCACAGGCCCTGATGATACTCTGATGTTTGTATAGAATGGTTCACCTCTGGATATATTTTTTTGTGACCTAACATCACAAAGACTGTACCCCTTTGCTCTGAAATACACAAAAGTTTTGCTTGTTGAAGTTTAACATTTTAAAGGGAGACTTAGATTCTTATTTCAAACTCCCTCCTGTGGCTACAGAACTTAAGGAAATAACTATTTGGTACAAATGTGCAATCTTAATATTAGACTGTCATAGCATGGTGAAACTTAGGAATGCAGTAAGGTCCTGAACAGTGGCCAGCAGATGACGCTTGCACACGAGCAAGTGACATGGTGTTTGTCACAGGTGCCTGTGAACTCTCAAAAGCATATTGTAACTTGAAAAACCTCAAGTATTTATTATTTCAATATCAAGATAATCTCATTAAAAGTATTAGCATCACAAAATGCTTCATTTGTAGTGATAGTTTTAAAAATAGTATGACTGATGGCTGGTCTGGTGGCCAGGCTGGCTGAATGTGGAATGAACTGAAACGCAGGCTGACAAGCACTCCATAGGGGTTTCTTCATCAGATTACCTGAACTAGGAAGATCCACATCTAAATGTGGGTGGCACCTTCTGATGACAGCCCAGATACAAGAATACATGGATACAGAAACTGCTTTTTGCTTGCCTGCCCTCCCTCTTGCTGGCAAGGTCCACTGTTGTGGTCCTTTCACAGGTGTTAGAGCCAACTTCTCTGGGCTTCCCCTGGACACTGAAGACCAGCAGCTCTCCCAGAATACTCCAGGCCTGTGCACCACATTGGGACTGCTGAAACATCCAGGCTTGCGGACTGAACAACTAGCGGATTTTTGTTCTCTCCAGTGGGAGACAGCAATTGTTGGACTATGTGACCCAAACTGTATGAGACATTTTAATAAAACACACACATGCACACACACGCTCACACACGCTCACACACACAGTCATAGTCAACATTTCTAGTCCTGTGATGAAACACCATGACCAAAGTAACCTTGGGGAGGAAAGGGGTTTATTCAGCTTACACTTCTACACTGTAGTCCATCATTGAAGGAAGCTAGGGCAGAAACACAAACAGGGCAGGAATCTGGAGGCAGCGGCTGATATAGAGGCCACAGGGTGTACTGCTTACTGGCTTGCTCTTCGTGGCTTGCTCAGCCTATTTTCTTATAGAACCCAGGATCACCACCCCACAGATAGCACCTCCCAAAATGGGCTGGGCCCTCCCACATCAATCACTAACTAAGAAAAATGCCCTACAGCTGGATCTTACGGAGGCAATTTCTCAGTTGAGGTTCTCTCCTTTCAGATAACTCTAGCTTGTGCCAAGCTGACATAAAACTAACCAGCACATATACATTCTATCAGTTCTCTTCCTATAGAGAACCTTGACTAAGATAAAATATCAATTCCTTAAAACCAACTTCAAAACCATAAGGGCATGATGGTCACAAAATCCAGTACACCGCTAACCTCTGGCGAGCAAGCAAGGGGCAGGATGAGGGAGAAACACTGAAGCAGAAAGAAGTCCAGAAGATTATGGTTCTTGAGAATTTGCCTGAATAAAGCCTATCATAATTAGATCCCAAGGTCTCATCTGTGATTTACTTCTAAGAAGCTAGGAAATTCTGCACCAGAAAGCTGAAAACCTCAGAATCTGTAAAACGACTCTTATAATTCAATGTTAGTGTGATTCTTAAAACATTTATAACACAAAATGTGCTGGAGCCTTTCAAAGAGTGAGGGACACAGACAGGGAAGTAAGGAGGGAGGGATGGAAGAAGGGAGGGGGGAGAGATGGAGGGGTGAGAAAGAGCTGTACAATACCTGATTTCCATGAAGGTCCAAGACATCTAAATTTTTTAAATTCTCCAGATTTGAGATTTTCTTGATTCTGAAAATTAGAATAAGTAGAATTGAATAGAAATGTAGTCACATCTTATCTATGAGTAACTCAAAGCCTGCTGAAGCAGAATGGTATACTCATTTTAATATTTAAATTCTTGATCTCCCAGTGAATACACACAGAGCAGTACTGTTACTGCTACTAGGGGAAAGGCGCATAAATGTCTTATTTTAGAGAAAAGCAATTCTACTTCTAACCTTAGAAGCACATGTTATGGGACTGGGGGGGGAGGGGGGGAGGCAGTGCCAGGTACAGTAGCACATGCCGATAGTCCCAAAGCAAAAGGATCACTCGAGTCCAGAAGTTCATCCATTCGGAGCCAGCCCAGGCAACACAGTAAAATGATATTTTAAAATTAAAAAAAAAAAGCGCTTTTTTTTTTTTTTTTGCAATTGCATTGCTAAATTTAAGTAACTCCCTGGTGGTTAGGCCTACCCGTGTTCTTCTCTGCCTTGCTACTCACAGGACACTCTCTGAGCATGAAAGGCTTATTTTCATTGTTCCTATGGACCCCACAGATTCGCACCATAACTACTCAGTAGAGGCCAGGAAATAAAGGAAAGATGTCATCCTTACCAATGCATCTATCATTACTTGTTCCTGCTCTCATTATTTATTGGGTCGAAGAACAGTGTCCACCTTCGTCGATGCTTCCAGAAGCCAATCATCATGCTAGCACAGTACACACTTAAACCTCATCAACAGTTATTGCTTTCAGGCCTCAGCCATCTGACATTATTGCCAAAGCAACAACGACTCCATCACAACCCAATTCAATCCAACTTACTGATAAAAATGGTCTCGCCTCCCACCAGATAGCACTGCTGCATGGCTGTAGCTCTTTTCTCCATTCAGAGAGACTACACTTCCCACAACCTCCTTACTTATCTCTCCTAAAACTTCAGAATCTGTTCTTTGCCTGGAAAACACACTACTGAGAAAAGCACTCGTACTTCATTTCACCCAAACTAGAGCATCCTTGTGGACTCAAAGGCCTTTATCTAAGGCCAGGTACTTCATACCATGCTAGCTAACATCTAAATATTTGGTTAATAGAAATATAAATGAATAGTGAAGTAAATGGAACAGAAAAAGCTTTGATGATTTTTTCCCTTTTTCCCCCCTTGTTTTTGTTTTTGGGTTTTCTGTTTTGCTCCTGATAAGCCTAGAACACTTGGAGGGAGTTACAGAAGCAGAACCATACAGCTTAGGAAAGAGCTGTGCTTTTTTAACAACAATTTGATCTCATGGCTATTAGAGAAGTCGCTGATCCCATTCTTTCATATTCCCAAACTGACAGTCCCTAAAACGTGGTTCCAACTCTTATGTGGATCAGATTCAGCTGAAGAGCGTGCTATAACATGAATGATCGGCTCCTCCTAGTCAGTCTCCTTTGAATTAGCTTGGTCCTCCAGTTGGTTCCCACATTGAGTTAGTCAAACAATGGCCTACAGTTAAGCTACTTATTAAGAAATAGGAGGTGTGTGTGTGTGGTATGTGTGCATATGCACTGTGTGTATACATTCACTCGTGTATGCACGTGTGTGTGAAGGTCAGAGACTGATGTGGAGATATCTTGCTCTGATCACATCTCTGACTTATTTATATATTTTGTTTTTGCTTTTCTTTTTGAGACAGGATGTTTCTCCAAACTTGAAGCACACCATTCTGAGTTCACTGCCTGGCCAGCAAGCCTATCTCCATTCCCCATCACTGGGGTTACAAATGTACATGACCATGCCTGGCATTTTAAATTGGAAATCTGAACTCAGGTCCTCATGCTTGTGCAGCAAGCATCCTACCCACAGAGCCATTTATCCAGGCACAGAATTATGGGTTTAACACTCTGAAACTTACTCTCTGTGGATAACAGAAATTGTCCTCATCCAGAGCACTCAGATCAGAGGCCCAACGGAGGCCACGTGAAGTTATTACAGCAAAGTGGGACTGGAGGTTTTTGGGTAATCATGGAAATGACAGTGAACCTGAGACCTGAGGGCTTAAACAACACAAAGGCAATGGCACTGAAGAAGCTCCACCCACCGGCCTTCTGAGCCTAGAATCTTGCATGCTCTAATTTTCAAAGTTGGAGAAACATGTTCTGACTAACGGGAGGCAGAAAGTCATCCACAACACAGCTGGAGATGCTCAGCCAGGTCCTTCACGCTCAGCAGAGCTCTGCATCTAAGAGTCTGTAGGACTTTTGTCAGATGTCCGGCTAGGAGCACGGGCAGATGTGTTAGGAATCAGAGGCATATGTTACAGATACCTGAGAGACACCCGATCTTGGAGAGTGTAGCACATTTTCTTGTAACATCTTTCCCTTTGATTCATGGGCACTAGCAGTTCAAAAACTGTTTAACAGTGTCTCCGGTGAAAATCCAAATATAGCTTGCAGAACAAGCAAACAAAAAGACAGAGGAGAAGGAGAAGAAAGAGGAAGAGTCTTATTAGATTGTTTCTATTGTAGCAAAATAAGCACAAAGCAGAGGGTGTTAGATCCCTCAAAGTAAGAAACCTTAGGTACTTCAAGAAGGCCAAAACAATGCTGTCTTCTGGGTCAAGATGAACAAATTGCTCCTGAGAAACCGAAAAGTAGAAACAGGCAGAAAGAACAGAGAGATGATTTTAACTGGACGCAACCAGAACCAGCCTTTGAATCTTGTTTACATTAGAGATGGGGATCACAGATATCTCTAGAAAATATCTGCATCTAAGGATGAAAAGGGAGATATATTTAGGCCACTGCACTAAAGAATAAATGTGAGCTAGGCACTTATAACTCAGAACCAGAAAGGAGCCAGGCCTGTGGAGGCTGGTACAGAACACCTGGAAAAGAAAGCCTTAAAGTCAAAAGTCAGCTCCCTCCTCACTTAGCTCAGTGAGCTGTCTGGAAACCTACTCCTGGAGTGTGGTAGTTTTTACACAACTATGCCGATCCATTTGACCACTCCGTTTTCATGTCTCTAAAATGAAAGGACTTGTATGCATAATAAATAAATAAATGTTTTTAGGGCTGGAGAGATGGCTCAGCGGTTAAGAGCATTGCCTGCTCTTCCAAAGGTCCTGAGTTCAATTCCCAGCAACCACATGGTGGCTCACAGCCATCTGTGGTGGAGTCTGGTGCCCTCTTCTGGCCTGCAGGCATACACACAGGAAGAATATTGTATGCATAAAATGAAAGGACTGACTTCTGAGGTCACTTCATACTTTAATATTCTATGGGCTTATAATTTACCAAATTCTCTCAAACTATGTGAAACTTTTTCTTTTATTCTTTTTAACTATGTTTATGTGTGTGGAAGGCCAGTAAGCGCACTGCCCCCAGAGGCCAGAAGAGGGTGTTGGTTCACCTAGAGCTGGAGTTAGAAGCTTTTGAGAACAGGTCTGACATGGATGCTGGGAAATGAACTGCAGTCCAGCATGCACTCTTAACCACTGAGCCATCTCTCCAGCTCCTCAAACTCTGGAATTTATTTTTTTAGTGGAATTCTTAATGCAACATTTGAACTAATAAACTACACTAATAGAAACTTTCAGAGAAACATCAAGGGGTAATATGATGCTAAAATCTGGGACATGACCTTGAGAACACATCTCCAAACACAGCACTTTGAATATTACATAATTTAGGCTGAAATAAAGTAAGAACTCTGGAGAGGCAGGAAGGTCACACTAACCTCCTCCCACCATTTTCCCCTAAGGTCATAAAAAGACTCTCTGACCTACATCACCCAAGAGTACATCCTAAGCCCTTTATAAACAGAAGTAAAGGGAATAAAACAGCCACAGGAAAGCCTGCACTAAGGGCCTTGCAGAGTCGTCCAGAGTACAGCCATGGACAACATGGACATTCCTTCTGCCCACGCATTCCGCTAAGACTGCCCACTAGCCATCAAACGTACAAACACCATGTGACTTTTAATCTGTGTCTTTGGGTCTTCTTATCTGAAGACCACTCTGTCTTCAGATATATATATATTAGGTTATATATATATTTTCTCTTACAAACTGTTCTTTGCTATCAGGATGTCAACCATGAGCTTTGAAAAGGCCAAAAACCAAAAGGTATTACTAATTTTTAGACTCTGATAATCCTTCTTCTAAGGTATTCAAAGTTATTTGGCAAAACTGAATGAAAGTCATAAGTGATTTCAAGGCCATGAGTCAGGAATTGTGTAGCTACTGCCTGACAGAGCTATAGCAAAGGAACTGGGACAGTACACAAACAAGATGTGACACTAAAACATATCGGGGGCTGGGAGGATGGCGCCCCCCCCCCAAGAGCACTTGCTGCTTTTGCAGAGGACCTGAGTTTGGCTCTCAGCACCCTTATCAGGCAACTCACAATGGCCTGCATTTCCAGCTCCAGGGATTTAACGCCATCTTCTGGCCTTCATAGGCACCAGGCACACAGGCAGTACAGAGACATGCGCTCAGGAAAACACACACACATATACATAAAATTCAAACCATAAACAAATATTTAAATAAAACATATGAGAACTACTCTCTGAAAAAGAATTTACCACTGATTTAACAATCGCAAAATAGCAAATGTCCCTCTCAGGTAAACACCAATAAGAATGGCAAGACACGTACAAGCTTCAAGTGAGCACATATGCTTAAAACATATCCTAAGAAATCATAAAGTCAAAGCTGGACTCTTCTAATCACTTTTATCTAAGGCATGGTGCTGAAGCAACGCCATGATTGTCAGACTGGGTATCACAGAGCAAATCAGGAAAGATTTTTTCCAGGGCTAGAACTCAACCCCAGGCTCTTGTGCATGCTCATGCTCAGCCAGTGTGCTACTGCTGACTTCTGCTCAGCTTTCCTCTAGTAATACCTACAGCATTAGTCTGCTGTGACTTACACCTGAACATTCCATGGATTCTATTAGGCTACAAGCAAAAACTGCTTCCACAGGACCTTAGCAGCTAAGAGTGCTGCCTATACAAGCAAGGAACTGAATTTGCATCCCAAACATCCACATAAAAGCTGGGTGCAACAGTAGAAATATCCTGAGGCTCATTGCCTGGCCAGTCTGGTGCCCCGCCCCACATACCCAAAAGGCAAGTTCTAGGTTCAGTGAGAGACCTGCCTCAAGAGAAAAAGGCAGTGACAGAGCAGGACACCAAAGGTCCTCCTCTCATCTCCACATGCACTGTGAGCACCTGCACAGACATGTAAACATATACGCATCTGTTCCTACACACACATGCTCTAATGCACATACACTCGTGTACAGTGCACACTCACACACACCCTGTATACACATACCCTCCCAACACACGCAACACATGCACATACCCACACATGGAGAGAAACTGCTTCACAAATACCTGTTTTTCCCTAAGAGAAGGACACGGAGAGACCTCAGAGTGGACAGCCCACTGATTTCTTCAATCTGGTTATCATACAAGTCCAAGAATATTAACCTCTGTAGATTAGAAATATTCTGGATCCGAGTTATAAAATTGTGCTGAAAATTCAATAAACGAAGGTGTTCTTCCCCATCGATGATAGGACACACAGTCAACTTCTGTCTAGAAAAAAAGATGTAGGTAAGATTCTGAGTCAGCATCCTCTTCCTGCTTCCTCTATCAAATACGATTAAGTAGTATGTTTGTGCACCCAGGCTGTGAGAAAGGAAACATAAGTTGGGGCTGGAGAGATGGCTCAGCAGTTAAGAGTATTTACCGCTCTTACAGAGGACCTGGGTTCAGTTCCCAGTACCTCACAACTCAGCTCAAAACTGCAGTTCAAGGAATTCCAGCATTCTCCTTTGACATTCACGGGCTCAGGAAAGCATGTGGCACACAGACACACACTCAAGCACACATGCATACAATTAAATTAATATTTTTTAAAAAATAAAGAGGTTATTTGGACTACTTCCTGACCCCAGGAAAGAGACCTAAATTTAACCATGAATTGTGTGTGTGGCGGGGGGGGGGGGGGGGACACGACACAATGGACACTGAGAAGGGTAATCACTAAAGTTAAGTCTAAACTCTCATTGTATTTTAAAACGAGTCTCTAATATTAATTTCACATGACATTAATATCAAAAGCTTTCAAATATAATTGTCTTTCTGGGAGAGGTTTAAATGGTCAAACCAAGTCACAAAACCAGAAAAAAAAATGCATTTGGTATCAGTCACTGATGTCAAAATTTCTCTAAGTGACTAAGTCATGGGAGCAAGAACCATACTAACAGGCTTATTTTAAATCACTGACTCACAAAAGTTCATGAGAATGAGAAGAAATCCTGCCATCTACTACAGGGGACACTGCTGGAAAATTCCATGCGAAGCCCCTTAATTGTAAGGCAACCCTTACTGAGCAACTCCTCACGAGGCTGGATGCTGGATTCGATTATCCAACACCAGCTTTAACTCTGCAGAATACTCACGGTTTTCAAGACCAGATGGAATGCAATTCTGTGTGTATTTGGTTGTATTTAAAACAGTGAGCTTCTTCTATCTCCTTTGTGGAGTAAATAAAGTTATGACCCTTGAAGAATTCTCCCCATGTCATAGCATGGTGAAGGAGGAGGGCCTAGGAGATTCTGCATGGAGAGTCAAAGGCTCTTCAAGGGAAACACAGCTCTGGCTGTGCATTAGCAATGCTAGTGTGGTTTGTTAGAAACATCCCTCAGTGACACCTCATGAATGGGAGTTTTGAAGAAAGTCAGCCAGAATGCTATAAACACAGGCCGAATATGGACAGATCAGAGTTCTTGTTGCAATGAAAAAAAAAAGGTTAGTAGGGGGAAAAAGGGAATACTAAAGGTCATAAAGATATCCTGCTTTAAGAAAAGACCCTTAAAGCCAGGCACAGTGGCGCACGCCTTCAATCCTAGCACTAAGGAAGCAGAGGCACAGGCGGGTGGGTATCTGATTTTGAGGCAACCCTGATCTCCATAGTGAGCACTAGGCCAGCAGTGGATAAAGAGTGAGTCCCTGTCTCAGAAAGAGAGACAGATAGCAGGGTGGGGAGGTATGGGGGAAAGAGAAGAGACCAAAATTGATTTAAGAGAGAAGAAAAGTAAAAACCACTGTGCACCAGTTTTGTGTGGATCACATTTAGAATTCATCTCGTGTTTCATACTCTCACAGCTGACATTTCTGTTACATAAATTATAACTTAAATGATTACAGATATGCTAGCTGAAGTTTGTAGCTTTGCTCTTAGCAAAACTTGAATCATGTCCTCTCTGCTCAGTCTGTCTCTCATAGTGAAAGCCTCAACTCCTGTCTTTGCATCAGTTGCTACCCACACAGGAAAATCACCTCCTGTCCTCCTTTTTCAAACTGCTAAGCCTTGAAATAAAGTCACTTTCCCTTACCCCAGTAATACCTGCCACTCCAGCAGAGCAGGAGAGGAAGCAATAGCCTACCCACCCCAGGGGGGCTCTGCTGTGTCTGTAAAAGTCTTGGGTTATGGCACTTCCTGCCCTATCACAGATGTCTGTGGAGGACCATGATTTGACATCTGTTTGCTTCTTGGAACATGCTGTCCTCCTGATATTTTAAGCCTACTTTTAAATCAGTGAGGCCAAGTACTTCTTATGGTTAGAGTCTTCCCTTGAATATTCAGTTCCCTGACCAAGAAGCCACACACACAATAACGCAGAAAACACTACTATTACCCACTGGCTGTCAAACAAGGCTTCCATGGTGGTACCCTGCTGCTGGTCCAACTCTGTTGTCTGCACATATGACAGCGATGGCATCATTGCGGTGCTACCGTCTCACGGCCAGCCTTCAGCCTTCAAAGCAGAGCCAATTTCCTTGGTCCTGACTTTCTTGATAAGCAAGTGTCTATTAATCAGTGCTGGTTTCTCCATTCTAGACACTCAGCCTGCCAAAAACTCATCTTTAAAGCTGTCCAAGCTACCCCTGAGCTACCATAGAAGCACCAGACTTCTTAAATCACAGCCTTAAAAACAGGGCCCCTGCTAATGCCAAGCAACACAAGACTAGGTTTCTGTTCTTGAGTGTGTTTTTAAAGACTGAAGGGGAAGTTCCTACACAATCTTTCAAACATGAAACGCTGCTGGAAATGGTATAAACATAAGGCAGTATTTAGGGTGGGAACTTCAAAATCATGACGCTTTGAGAGATGTTGGTCTCAAGTAGAACTCTGCCTTCAGAACAGGGCCTTTCCCTGGTACTCGCAGAAGAGCTGACTCATTCAGCAGCTGCGTCATGCTAAAGCCAGTTGTGCACAGCACAGATGTTCTGTCTGCTGGGATTCTACGTCCACCATCCCATTACAAATCCCTTCCTGGTTATAAAGAAGGGCACCAAACCTTATACATATTCACTTCTTTCTACAGCATTCATTCAAGAGCACACATTGTACCAGGCTCTCTGTTCTAGGTGCCCAAGAAGACAACTGAACAAAAATCACCATTTATGGAGATTACATTCTAGTAGGTCACAGACAACAAACACAAGTAAATATTTAACATGCTAGAGAACGGTAAACACTAAGCAGGAAAATAAAGCAGAGAAAGGAATGAGCATGCGTAGTTGGTAGGGACTGCATCTGGAAAGACAGTGGGAAGATGACATCAGAGGGAAGACCAGAAGCAAGCAGATGTTGTGAAAGGGAGAAAGGAAGATATGCTCACCTTTCCAGGGTCAGCCTGTCTGAGTAAAGAATTTTCTCTTCAGAGGAACGCTGGAGAATAGGAAATGATGGCATTGATGAGCTCACCAGATTAATATGATCACCTGTTGGAAACGATACACAAATCACTTGATGAAGGCAAATTGTGGCGGCTGTGAAGCTAGAGCCACTGTTTATATAGGGAGCTTTGGAGCCTACAGGGACAGCTTTTCTAGCCATTTCCACAGCTTCCGTACCAGGAGCTGATATTACACTGGGTTGTCTTCTTCTCAATCCTAGCTCTGTGCTCTGTGGGCGCAGGTAGCTTTCCCTTGCTTTACAAGTCAGCTGAATAATCTAATGTGCTCTGGCGCTGTCTTGGTCCCTTTACCGTTCTAACTCCTGAAACTACATGCCAACTACACGATACGCTACAGGATCGCCCCTCATTACCAGATACATTGGGGCCAGCACTATGACAGCCCTGCCGGATTCTGGGCTTTGAAGGTGTCTGAATGGAAGAGTCTCCGAATGCTGACAGGGAGCTTGTGGCAGTTCTCATGTCCAGCCCACAGAGTTCTGTCACGTTTGTTGTGGATGAGATGCATGATGACTTATTACGAGGCGACGGACTTATTACTCTTCCATCTCCTTCAAAATATCAAAAAGTTTATCACAAAGCTACACAACACATGACTTTGCTATAGGATAGACACAGAAAGTAATGTGGGATAGCGGATGTAAACCTCGCATCCTTGTTTGTTCCCTATGCATAGGCCGCTACCATTGCTAGAGAATGCTGCAAAGACAGCAAGTGGGTGTCGACAACTGAGGGTACTGTAGCTGGGACCCAGAGAGGATAGGATACCCGGCGAAGTCTAAAGGCTGTTGGCTGGGTGTTTCTGATAGAAGCTTTTCTTGGAGAAAAACACATAGGAAATGAATAAGCTAGAACAACGTCCAAAAGGACAGACTATAAAAGAACGTGCAGAGCTGCAGAGGGAGCCCGATGGTTAAGAGCACTGGCTGCTACTACAGAGGACCCAGGTTTGATTCTCAGTAACCACACATGGCAGCTCACAACCATCTCAATTCTGGGGGATCCAACTCCCTCTTCTGGCCTTGCTTGTAGTACAAATACACATGCAGACAAACATCCATACCTAAATTTTAAAAATGCTTATAACTACTCTAAAAAGGAGACCAGTCCCTTTGCACGTAGTGTGTCTAGTTAGTGGATGATAAAAGACATCACAGGTGAGATTAGGAAGAGGTGAACACTAAGATATATTCTAAAGAAATAGAAGATTACAGAGTGGTCTGGAAGCAAAGAGGAAAAACTCTAAAAATTCTGAATACCAGAGGCTATCTTCTATATTTGTGTCTGGAAATTGACCATCACTGAAAGTATCAAGGGACAAGGAAGTACCCGATGGAGCAATCGGTAGGATGATAGAAGCCAAGGCTACCTCAGAATTCTGCTGCTTAGACTATCCAAAGAGAAAATCCTAATCTAGAAGTTAATAGACTTTCTGGTCACTACTGATGAGAGCCTAAAATCAAGCCACACACACACACACACACACACACACACCCCTCTTAACTGAAAGTTAGTGTATCAAAATCAGCCAGCCTTCCCAAGTCTACAAGCCAGGCCATCTCATGCTTTCCATCAAATAATCAGAGCTCACATCTCACTGTTCTGAAGAGCATGAAACATCAAGACAGCAAGTCATGCTGTCCCAAGAGGTAAGCACCTAGAACTGACACCATGCTCAGCAACAAACATCAAACATCAGGAACACTTGCTGGCAGGATCCCCAAGCCACAGGAACCAACACACTGATGTGGAGTCCAAAGCCAAAAACAGCTCAAGGATTAGCTACACATAAAGATTAGATGCCAAGGTCAGTGGAACATGATGAAAGGAAATGCAAGGGAATAAAGAATCTCATTTTGTCTAATTAACATTTCATTAGGTTTTTGAATTACTATAAGAACTTCAAGGCAATCTGAGATTTAACAGATCAAAACCTTCCATGACTTGGAATGTAGAGGCAAATAATCAAAGAATAAGTTTCACTTACTCTTCATGAATGAAAGAATTCTATCCTTACATACTTCAGCTCCTCTTACATGCAAATGTCAGTATTTTCAGTTTACCATTGATGTGATAGACACCCTTCCATAGATGCAAAAGACTAAAACGGTTAGTGAAAAAAGTCTTACAATGTACACACAGATCCTGTGAGTGGGACACACAGGAACCTTTGGACAGCCATGTATTTACGTGGGTGTAGTGCTGACATGCGGGTTGCCCTCAGGTGACTTGAACCTTTGGACAGCCATGTATTTAGGTGAGTGTACACTGACATGCGGACTGCCCCCAGGTGGCTGGACATTACTTTTCTGTTACATGTGCCCTGACTTCCCGACCTGATCTGTAAGGTCCCAACAGCTGGTCTCATTTTACATCTCAGCAGAATTTAGATGTAGGAGCCAATCAGGAGATAAACTGTCTTTCCACTTTAGAGGAGCTTAACTGAAAATCTACTTTGCATTTTATTTCTATTTAAAAAAAAAGAAAAAAAAAACAGAAATTTCTGCACTTTAGTGTAAACAGTGTCTCAAAATGATCAGAGGCAAAATGGTCTACAACTGGTTAAAGCGCTCAATGTGGTGTAGGCTCGACAGCAGGTGATGGACACGTGAGAGGGTGGTGGAGGCGGTGGTAGAGACAGCAGGTGGACAGACACGTGACAAGGTGGTAGAGGTGGTGGTAGAGACAGGCAGCCCAGGGAGCAGAGCACACAGCAATGGCTGTCGGCTGAGCTTCATCTTGTAGAACCATCTGATGACCAAGATTCTGACATGATTTCCCACTCCTTTGTCATGAGGCAGGAGTTGAGCATCTCCTCCTCCCTCCATTACTTAAGGGGTCTGATGAGATCGCAGGGCTCACTGGAGAAGCTAGATTTTACCAACCTGAGGACACAGGCTAATGTGCAGCTACTCCCCACGAGGCCTCCAGGAAATCACCTTAGAATTTAAACCTTACAAGTCTGAAGTCTAAACTTTAGACGACTTGTTTTGAGACATGGAGTTCCTTCATTTCGACTGAGAGAACCATGGTTATGTTGTGCCCGTGGCTGCGTGTGGTTCATTTCTAAAGTAATAACTGTCTGAATGGGGTGTGGGGGCTAGATGTGACAGCGCCGTTTATCACACATGGGTCTTCTTGCCCAACAAAGCTTAAATTCAATTTTTTTAAATTTGTTGACTTAAATTTTTTTCCAGAGTTGTATGTTCTAGGTTGTATAAAACTGAGTGCAGAAGTCAAGAGAACAGCTACAACTTGTGTGGCTTCCTTTACATAAAACTGCCCAGACCATGGAAGAGGTGCACTGGGAATGAACAATTCCGCATTTAAGACACATCAAATGAGTGTCTTGTCACAGAGAATGGCTTTGAATGGGACCTTTTAAGAAAAAGCAAATTCAATTTCTTTCTGCCTAAATTTATTTTTATTTTGTATTTTATGGTTCATGGCTCTCATATATGAAACTTTGCCTCTGGGCTTCACAAAATCATTACATCCGCACTATGTCCTCATCAGCAAATATTTGGTAATATTTTATCCCTTATCATACAAATAGTAATTAACAATGATTCCTGTGACTCTAGAACAATGTGAGCAAGTAAGTTTTGTTCACAGCTGAGGGAAAATAAAGACGCTACTATGTACAAATTTGAAAGAAATTCCCAGTGAAGGCTTGGAACAGCCTCAGGCGAGAATCTGCAGCTCCTTGCTGAAAACAGTGCAGAGATCACAGAACACACCCCAGGAATGCACTCAGAACCAAACGAAAGAGGAGGACAGATGCTTCCTGCCAGACAGAGCTAGATTTAGGTGGTGTGAATTCCGGGAATAGACAAAGTCTTGAGCGAAGGAGGTAGGAAAGAAAAAAGGTGGGTAAGGTTATATGGGTCTAAGAGGAAGGCCCAGAGACACCCCACCACATGCACACAAAAAGACATATTAATCAATATTCAAACTACTCAATACTGCCTTCTGTTCATACAGTAATGAAATGGGCCATCGGAGGGCCTGTACTGATCGCCCTCTTATACAAACATCTAGACATGGAAGGCAAATCCACAGGATCAGAAAGCATGCAGGAGGTGGGGCGGGGGCAGCAAGTGCTCCTAAGAGGCAGAGGTGGAACCAGCTATTAACTAGTGTTACTAGACTAGCATACCCCAAATAACTATCTCAACTAAGAGTCAGATTTCCGAAGGAGACTTTACTTTGGTTTTAAAAATATATTTCAGAAGTACAGCAAATCCTATCACCTACCATCTGTTCAAGGGCCGTCTACAAACCACATCGCCACCACCCAACAGAACCACCCTGGCACCGTGAATACACACCCCAAATGCCACCCCAAACTGACCAAGTCAGAATGAGCAAGGGGGGGACGCACCAAGAAGCTGCACTTCTAACAAACTCACAAGTGATTCACCTCAAGCTGAAGGCCTCTAGCAATGAAGTACCTGTGTCTGTGTGACAGCGTGACCGTGTGACTGTGTGACAGTGTGACCGTGCTCCCACAGACGACGCCTTCTTCCTATTCCCACTGTTTTCTTGTTTCCAAAATACTTGTCTTCCCATATCCTCAGATTAGCCATTATTTTTATTTCTAATATATTATCAGAACATTCTTTTCCTATTCTCTATTGTAACCTACATTCAAACTAAAGTAAGTTTCTTGGGTTTTGTTTGTTTATTTTGTTTTAACACATAGGAAGCAATCCACTATGGGGTGTGTGTGTGTGTGGTGTTGATCTATATCACTAATTCTGATTTAAACAAATATCAAACCAATTTTGTAACCACTGAACTATTTCCTTTTGTAATTCAGGTTTAGTCATAGAAACAACGGTTTAAAGAAAGCGAACCTGTTGTCTGTTCTCTGACAGTACCTTGTCTACTGGAGTAGTTTCTCTCTAGGTCATGCTGCAACAGTCTGCCAGGAAATGATGGTGTTTCTCTATTAAGCTTGAATTCAACCTGCAATACAGCATTTAAGAAAAGATATTGTGAGAAAAAAAATCACAGTAATAAATGAAGTTTATTATAATGTAAAAGATAAAATATGCTTTAAAAAAGGTTAAAACGTCAGGAAGGGCCACATATTAATCCAATTATATGAACTACACAGAGTTGAAAAATTCATAAAAACAAAAAGCATATTTGTGGTTTCCAGAGGGTTAAAATAAGTGGGGAATAGGGAGAAACTGCTTAATAAATATGGGGTTATGTTTGGAATGATGAAAATGTTCTAGAACTAAACAGAGGTGACGGTTGCACACGCTGTGAATATACTTAATGACAGTGAGTGTAAATTTTAACACGGGCGAAGGTGGAATTTGCAAGGGAGGTGTAATTTTCCAAACGTAAACTATAAAACAGTTATAGAAGATCAGATTAAAATAGTTCCAATCCCTCCCCAAATACCATGACTCAAAGAGTCATTTGCTCAATAAAAAAAGAAATGCAAACAATAAAAGCTAATGAAACTGTTTTGATGTTTAAAATCCTTTAACTGTCAAATTTTAACATAATAAAATTGCATATTTAAGAAGAAATTTAACTGTCTTTTAATACTTTTTATTTTTAAAAAATGTTAAGAATTTTTAAAAGTTAATTTTAAAATTAATTAATAATCTTTAAAATACTTTTTAAAAATATTTTTCATAGTAGTACTGAAAAGCCAAAACCAGAATGACCTCTTATGTTTAGCAACAGAAACCTTAGAAATATATCTTCTGAGGCTTATAATGCTTCCCATTCACCCATCATATAACCTCCACATCAGCATCTGCATCTTATCACCATGAACACTACATGGCTACACTCAACACAGTGAACGGTACAAAAAGGATGTTGAAATAAACACAGCGCTCCTAAGAGGACTACAACAGGAGAAAAGGACTCACCTGCAAAGACAATTAGGAAAGCTTAACAAGAAATCCATCATGCCTGATATTAATAAGGAATACATTTTTTCATTAATCCAGCTGTTATTGAAGATGATCAAATGATGAGACCAGGGGAGTCAGACAAGGGAGTATTTGCTATTTTCACATTTTTAGAGGCTGCAGGCTCCCTTTCATTCACCTTCCTCTGGCCCTTGTTGATTCTCTTCCTGCTGCTGTCTGTGACTCCGGGGATGCCTATTTCACAACTCCTTAGGGAACAACTGAATTGTGACGGTTGAACACAACCACTCTGGCTAAAGGGAGAAGTGAGTGGCGTACGAATAGCATGGGAGGGTGGGGGAGCATGTGTGAGTGCTCAGGTGAGGCGGGCAAGGAAGAAAAGGGTGCATCTCAGAATCAAATGAAGCCAGCAGTTCCGGAGAGTTCAAAGCTATTACAGGTAAATGGTATGAGTGTAGAAAGATGGTTTTGAGGTTAAGACCACTGCTGCTCTTCCATAGGGCCTGTTTGGTTCCTAACACCCATGACAGGTGTCTCACGACTGCCTGTAACTCCACAGAGACACAGAAATAGACCCAGAAGCACACACACACACACACACACACACACACACACACACACACAAGAATCCCCCACTCAATACATTATGAAAACATTCTAACAATATTTCCACTGCTAAGCCAGTTTTTCTTCTCTGATTGGAAATGAAGTATAGAGTGAAGCTCTCCTAAATGTTACATTTTATTCTTCCCAAGATGCCACCAGTACAACGACAACATCATTTTACCTATGTCTAAGAAATAAAATCATTTCTCAATTAAGTTATGTCATACAACCAATTTTAAGAAATACCTTCGGCAGAAATGTTAACTGTAAGAAGGGGGAACTCTTGTAACCAATGGAACGATCTAAGTTGATATAAGGGGTGATTTGGCTTTTCGTAGGCAGAAAATACAATATGCTTTACATTGAAGATCAAAATAGATATAATTAATCTCCAGGTGAGACTCTATTGTTAAAACATGCAACGATTTGTGGAGAATATCTGACAATTTATTTTCAACTTAAATACAAATCTGCTTAAATCTTACTTTGTTTTTGTCAGAAAGTGACGACGTTTGAATAACCAGATGAAGCCCGCAGTTCACCTGAAATGTAAAAATTAAATCACAAAACATATTCTTAATAAATACACACATAACCCCCCACGGTATAAAGACATCACAAAAAATTGGAACACCATCAAATGCTCCATCATTGTTTGCCTTTCTAGTTAATAAGCATTTTCCCGAAGATTTGTAAAATGACGTCTAAGAATTAAAAAGCTTTCATTGATTTACTTTTCAAAATGTCGGAGGTACCAATTCGACCCACCTTGTACCTCAGGCTTTTGATTCCTGCTATTTCTCCTGCCAACCAATATATCAGTGTAGGAACGAAGGAGGTGGGAGTGTCTAAGAACAGGTTCCTTTCTCAGGCGAAGAAAGAAAGAGGTGGGAGCTAAGTAAAGGAATCCCAGTGTTTACCTAGCAGACCAGCTCCACCTTCCGGGAGCTCAAATCCTCGGCAAGATTTTAAAGACCCATCATACCATATTCAAATACTCTCCGAGTGCTTTGGACTAGCCCGCGAACCCCTAGCTTCAGTCAGACAATAGCTTGAGCAGTCCTGGTCCCAGTTATGCAGCCCATCACCTAGGACAAAGACGCCAGTCAGAGAGGACAAGACTACTGGAAAAGGAAAAAAGCAGGAAGGCCCAGCTCACATTGTTTGCAGCTCGGCCAGAAACGGAGCGGTATTTCCCGGGAATCATGGCAGGAGACAGTCCAGGATGTTCGATCCTCCTTCGAGGTAATGCTACAGCTAAGATTCAAAGAGACCAAAAGGGGTCATCTCCCAGGCAAACCGCTCAGGCGTTGCCATGGAAACCACCATTTCCGGTCTGGTCCTCGTCCCAGAGCTGTTGGCCGTCCGAGTGGTTAGCCTCGGGGTGTATCTGTGCGGCCCGGTGCGTCAGCACTTCCTCGTTTTGGCTTTTTTTCCGGGTCTTCTGAAAACAGCGGGAGGATCCGGAGGAGGATAAAATGGGGAAGAGGCTGACCACATCCGCGGCTATGACAACCGCGACTTCCGGTCCTTCCTCTTTACGACCCGCCTCAACGCTGCCCGCGGGAAGTTTGATTCCCCTTGCCTATCTCCTTGTTTTCCTGGGAGAATCGCTGGGAAGAGCTGAATGAAGATACCCAAGAACCTTACCATTTGGAACTCCAGTTCGGCACTTCCTCTGAGCCGAGGCCAGGAAGGATACATCAGGACCTGAAGGCAAACAGTGAAATAGAAGCTGCTTCCCTGAGGCCACTGCTAGCAGAGGGACCTAGTGCTCTGAACGGGGCAGCCCCTGACACTTAGCTCCAAAACTGTCAACCTGTCAAAAAAATTATTGAGGAAGGAAACTGAAGACCAGACTTGCTAATAATCCCTTCCTGTACCTAAACTTCTTTTGACTGTTACCAGATGCCTTCGAGTTCATGTTTCTGGCGAGCTGAACTTCACATCTTGTCCTCACTGCTTAATTTTCTACTCCCATAAACATGAATTACACTTACCCTGCATCTGGTTGCCACTGCTTGCCCTCTTAAAGACTTCCAAATCCTCTTTGAGACAATCAAGTTTCCACCCTATTGCCATTATGTGGATTAAACAATGGCTCCATAATTGTGCAGAAGAAATGTTTAGCTCTAATTCTGAGAAAAGTTTGCCAAGAAGTCAAGTGGTCTGAACTGACATTTTGTATAGAATAATAGGGCTGAAGGAAACCTTATTTCCCAACTAGTCCAAACCCATCATTTTTTACATGAGGAGACTAGCCCAGAAGAATTAACTTCCTCGAGGACCTGAAATTCTTACTGTAGTTCCAATTACCAGCCCAATATTCTTTCTTCAATACTGAGCTGCTTTCCACATCTTGGTGGATGCCTAAAACCCATTCTTTAGTGGTATTCTGTCAATGTTTGAAATGCAAACATATAATTTTTGGAGCAAAATTATGAACACAACTACACATCCTTGTCCTTGCCCTCCTGCACCAGCTCAGTTAAAACCACTGTCCTTAACCATTTATTCATAGATGTTGACCATAGATTTTGGCTGCTCTATATTCCTTTCTACTGAGACTTTGCTCAGTTGTTCCAAGAAGTAACCAGAGTTATTCCCCTCCCATTTTCTGGCACCATCAATAAAGTCCTGCGTGGTGATTACAAGAATGGACTTGGTGGTCAAGTCCTGGACTTCAGTTACATCTCTGCCGATTACTAAGTGTTCTCCCTTATCTCCCTGTGCCCAGATTCCTCATCTGTAATGTAAGGTGTGTTCACTTCCTCTGTCGAGAGCCGAGAGCTATAGAGTGTTAACTACTTAGAGCAATGTCTGATGCACAAGCCCATCATGCTAAGCATTGGTTGTAATCACAGTCAACCCTGGGCCTGAGGGTCTTGCTTCTGAAGCCTGTGTTCAGCCTGCCCTTTCTTTGTTGACTCATTTTTCAAGCAATGTTTTGAATGCTAAATACTCTGAAGCTTGTGGAGAAATGAGCTATGTATGATGCTGAGATGGAGCACAAAGGAAAGACTGAAGCAGCCAAATCAGCACTATGGAGCTGCATAAAACTATGGGAGTTAGTCCATGCTTGTTGCAGCTGAAACTCGGGGGAAATATTTGATGTAATCTCTGACCGCTGTGCTCTCAGCAATTCAACTGTGCTGGCTGATCTCTGTTGTCGGTTTGACTAGATCTGTAATCAATTAAAATGTAAGCCAGGAGGCACGCCTTCAAGAAATTTCCTTGATAAGATCATTTGAATCAGTAAGAACCTACCCTCAATGTGAGTGGCACCTTCTGATGGCAGCCCAGCTGAAAAGTTATGGACTGTGGGAACTTTGCTGTCTGCCTGCTTGTCTTTTCTCCTGGCAGGCTCATCTGTCTTGTTGCTGCATTCCTTCTCTAAGACTAGAACAAGCTTCTTTGAATTTCCAACCAGCAGCTCTCCAGGAATACTCCTGGTCTTAAGTACCAGATTGGGACTGCAGAGACGTGCAGCCTCATGGACTGAGCAACTAGCAGATTCTCAGCCTCTCTGCTGTGACGTGACTTTATTGGGCTACCAGGACCACATCCTATAAGCCAATCTAATAAATCACCCTTCAGTGCATGCTGAGAAGATCAGTCTGTGCCTTTGGGATCCCTGGCTAATGCACCAGCCTTCTTGTTTCTGGCAAACCCAACCAACCCCACTCTTCTCTAAAAAATGGTTCAGTGATGGAACTGGATACTCATGCAAGCCCTGCTTAGTGGATTTCTCTAGAGTAATTGGATCAAACCCAAATAACCCAGTCATCTTCCTATGGGGAGGATCCGCTAGTCACTGACTGCTGAGTTTTTTTTTTTTTTTGTGTGTGTGTGTGTGTGTGTGTGTGTGTTTTGGCAGATGCTCAGAGAGTACCTGTTAAATGAATCACAGAGGCATTCCGATCTATTTAATGCTCTAGACATTCCGGATCTTCCTGATGCGCTCTGAAGGAGACCCTATCAATCATACTCATTCCTTTTGTGTGTATGATTATCCTTTGCTTTTTCCAGCTCCCCTGAAAAGGTTAGAGATGGAAGGAACTTGGAAAACCATCCAGTCAGAATGCTTCATTTTATCAATGAGAAAATGCAGTGACGTGATGCCAACACTGACAGGGCTGTTTAGTGAAAGATGCCATAAGTCTTCCCTGGCTCACCAACTTCAGATTGCTGTTTTGTTCTGTCTGTGTCACAGGACCGTCAGAGAAGACCACCACAGAGCCGGTATCTGATGCAAACACACTGGGGTTTATTGATTACAAGTTATCTAATTCGGACCTTAATCTGAGACTCTGGCACAGTGGGTGGGGGAGAACGGCTGGAGGCTTCAGGGCAATGGGTTTTTAAAGGGAAAAACTACAAGCAGGGTGGCACAAGCCTTGGCATTTCAGGGTTGGGTAAAGTATACAACTTTTGAATTCAATGGTTGGAATATAGGGGAATTTTAAAACAGTGACTGTCAGCAAGAGAGAATTTCAAAACAGCAGTTAATCAGATGCCTACAAGGATGTTTGAAGCAAGCAGATGTGTCTGGACACCCCGGTGGGTCACTCTGACCAGGGCAGGCACAGTTTCTCGGAAGTGTTTATGACTTTGCTGGGCAGCATTCACCCCTCCCCCTCCCCCAAGTTAGATTCTGTCTAAAAAGGAGCTCTTTCTCAAAATGGAGTTTGTTCTGCCCCTTCATTTTATGGCCAGTTAAAGGCACTTGCCACCAAGACTCATGACCTGAGTTCAGTCCCCAGGACCCACAAAGAGGATGGAAAGAACTGCCTCCCTCAGGTTGGCCTTTGACCTCCAACCTATTCATCCATTTCCTTCTACCCAGGTCTTTTTTGTTAGGGGTGTTGGTGTTTTGAGACAGGGTTTCTCTGTGTAACATCCCCAGCTATCTTGGAACTCGATCTTGTAGACCAGGCTGGCCTTGAACTCACAGAAATCTGCCTGTCTCTGCCTCTTGAGTGCTGGGATTAAAGGTGTGCACCACCACCGCCCAGCCCACTCAGGTCTTAATTTCTGCCCTGGGGGAAAAAGTGGACTTTCTTTCCTGATGGAACCAAGAGGACTGGATTGGCAGGTGTTCCAAGGGAAATATCCCTGCCTGCTTAGTTTTAAGTCCCAAGGATCCCAGATACCTGGGGCATGTTTGGTATTATCCCATGATGGTATTTGTAGCTATATATTCTCAATTTATTTCAAGACATGGTTTCCCTGTGTAGCCCTGGCTATCCTAGAACACATTTTGTAGATCAAGCTGGCCTTGAACTCCAGAGACCCACCTCCCTGTGCCTCCTGAGTGCTGGGATTAAAGGCAAGCACCACCACTGTCCAGTTTATATTCCCAACATTATACTGCATTCTGAGATAACTAAAACTAGATCATCCTTAAAGAAGTTTTCCTCGCTGAACTGTTTTGATCAGGTCTGGTTTTAGTTACCACCGCCAGGGAATAATGTATTTCTACAGCAAAGGATTGTGTTTTGCCAGGGTCCAGCCTCAACTCTGGCTGCAGTCCTGAGATGGGGAAGGGGTGTCTGTACAAGGAAGAAATCTGACCATCAGGTGGATTGCACTCAAGTGGCCCTGAATAACTCAAGCTGTCTTTATTTATACTCTAATTATTTTTTTTCTACCAGGCTTACATCAACAGCTTTATTATTGGTTATTTTTGACTTTTAAGTAATATATCATACTTTACAAAACACATCATAATCGTTATTTTAAAAGCCCCCATTGTTCCCCTTATGCTTCCCCAAATATACTTTCCCACCCTCTACATAACCATATTCCAGACAGAGAGTTCACCATTTTTGCAAGCTTAACTAAATATCAAGCCAGACACATCCTGCACTCACAGCGCTTAAGTCAGCTGGCAGCTACTTGTGGTTACCAAGTTAAAAAGTAATAGACACAGGTACAGTGCTTTAAGAACAAAAATATTCAAACCCAAACAATTCTCTCATGTCTGCAAGATATGCTTTGATACAGCCCCCCTTTCTACAAGAGGGTCCCATGTCTCAGTCTCTGTAAGAGGCAGACATTGATAAAGCTCCCTTTTCCCATCTCACTATACCATACTTCTTCCACCAATATGAGCTCCTGTGTATGGTAAAAAAGGGATCTATCATCCCATATTTTACATTGCATTTTTCCCATTGGATCTTTCTAGATCCTATCATTGATTCTATATGCTTGGTGTCCAGGGAACTTACTCTCAACTGCTGTGTATTCCTGAGGCTTTTCCCCTATTCTGTGTGTACATGCCTTACTCTCCTTTCCAGAACTTGAGACATGGTTAATGTCCCAAGTGTTGTTTTCTCATACATACCTAACTATCTCCATTGGGTCAAAAAAGTTCCCAAGATTCGGAGTTATAGTTAGTAATTCCAGATAAGAGATTTGAGAAGCGCTAGTCCTCTGCTGAATCTTAGGGGGAGATATTTGAGAGAGAGTGGAATTTCCAGGGAAAATTACAGTTATTGCATGTGTGACTGACAAAAAGAAGTCACTCAAAGAATCAGAAATATAATAAGAGAGAAAAGAGCCTGCAAGTTGCACAAATTTTGCAGATTCCTACACTGTCCCGTGGTCTTCTGGTCCATGCCATGTGA